TTATCTTGCAAACCTATCTTACAACACCTACAAAGTACTTCTAGTTTCATACTTTTTCTAAGTAAAGCGAACGTTAAGCGTGCGTAGAGTTGTATCGATGGTCGATAGAACTTGAGGAATATTTGTTCTACCTTTAGCTCCTCGTTGGGTTTGACACTCTTACTTATCGGAAGAGGCTACAACTGATCCCCTATACTTGTGGGTTATCAGTTAAGCATTAGAGACAACTACATTCACTTTAAATAGGGCACCATCTAAATTCGTTGAGACGATATCGTATGAATTATGGTTTGGCAAGAAACCTAACTGGTCGTTTCTTAAGGTTTGGAGATGCGTCGCTTATGTGAAAAGGCTTCAGCCTGATAAGCTCGAACCCAAAGCGGACAAGTGCGTCTTCATAGGATACCCTAAGGAAACAGTTGGGTACACCTTCTATCTCAGATCAGAAGGCAAGGTCTTTGTTGCCAAGAATGGATCCTTTCTAGAGAAGGAGTTTCTCTCAAAAGAATTGGGTGGTAGGAAGGTAGAACTTGATAAGGTTGTTGAGCCGTCACCTCATTTAGAAAGTAGCACGACGTAGAAAGATGTTTCTGCGGCGCCTGCACCAAGTGAAGAGTAAGCTAATGATGATGATCATGAAGCTTCAGATCAAGTTACTACCGAGCCTCATAGGTTGACAAGGACTCGTACCGCCCCTGTGTGGTACGGCAATCCTATCTTGGAGGTCATGTTGTTAGACAACAGTGAACCTACAACTATGAAAAAGTGATGGTGGGCCCGAATTCCAACAAATGGCTAGGAGCCATGAAATCCGAGGTAGGATCCATGTATAAAAAGCAAGTATGGACTTTGGTAGACTTGCTCGATGACCGGCATGCCATTAAGCACAAATGGATCTTTAAGAAGACAAACGCTGATGTTAATGCCACCATTTATGAAGCTTGACTTGTTCGCAAAGAAGTTTTTGACAAGTTCAAGGAGTTGACTATGATGAGACTTTCTCACTTGTAGCGATGCTAAAATCTGTTGGGATTATGTTAGCAGTTGCTGCATTTTTTTATTACGAAATCTGGCAGATGGATGTCAAAACAGAGTTTCCTTAACGGTTTCCGTGAGGAAAGGTTGTATGTGATACAACCAGAAGGTTTTGTCGATCCTAAGGATGCTAAAAGGTATGCAAGCTCGAGCGATCCTTCTATGGACTGGAGCAAGCGTCTCGGAGTTGGAAGATACGCTTTGATCAAAGCTTTTGGATTTATACAAAGTTTGCAAGAAACTTGTATTTTCAAAAAAGTGAGTGGGAGCACTACAACATTTCTGATAAGTATATGTGGATGACATACTGTTGACCGAAAATGATGTAGAATTTCTAGAAAGCATAGAGGATTGTTTGAATGGAGTTTTTCAAAGGAAGACGTGGGTAAAGCTGCTTACATATTGGGCATCAAGATCTATAGATATAGATCTAGACGCCTAATAAGACTTTCACAGAGCACATACCTGGACATGATTTTGAAGGAGTTCAAAATGGATCAGTCAAAGAAGGAGTTCTTGCCTGAATTGTAAGGTGTGAAGTTGAGTAAGACTCAAAGCTCGACCACGACAGAAGAAAGAGAAAGGACAAAGGTCATCCCCTATGCCTTAGCCATAGGCTCTATACGGTATGCCATGTTGTGTACCACACCTGATGTGTGCCTTGCCAAGTGTCTGGCAAGGGGGTACAAGAGTGATCCAGGAGTGGATCACTGGACAGCGGTCAAAATTATCCTTAGAGGAATAAGGAAATATTTCTCGGTTATGGAGGTGATAAAGAGTTCGGTGTAAAGGGTTACGTCGATGCAAGCTTTGACACCAATCCAGATGACTCTGAGTAGCAAACCGAATACATGTAGTGTAGCGATTTGGAATAGCCCAAGTGAAGCGTGGTAGCAACATCTACAATATGACATAGAGATTTGCAAAGTACACACGGATCTCAATGTTGCAGACCCGTTCACTAAAACCTCTCTCACAAGCAAAACATGATCAAACCCCACAACTCATTGGGTGTTAATCACATGGCAATGTGAACTAGATTATTGACTCTAATGCAAGTGGGAGACTGTTGGAAATATGCCCTAGAGGCAATAATAATTGGTTATTATCATATTCCCTGTTCATGATAATCGTTTATTATCCATGCTAGAATTGTATTGATCGAAAACTCAGATACATGTGTGGATACATAGACAACAATATGTCGCTAGTGAGCCTCTACTAGACTAGCTCTTTTATCAAAGATAGTTAAGGTTTCCTAACCATAGACATGAGTTGTCATTTGATAAAGGGATCACATCATTAGAAGAATGATGTGATGGACAAGACCCAACCATAAGCATAACATTTGATCATATTAGTTTATTGCTACTGCTTTCTTCATGTCAAGTATCTGTTCCTAAGACCATGAGATCATGCAACTCCCTGACATCAGAGAAATGCCTTGTGTGTATCAAACATCACTTCGTAACTGAGTGATCATAAAGATACTCTACAGGTATCTCCGAGGGTGTCTTTTGGGTTGGCATGGATCGAGACTGGGTTTTGTCACTCCGTATGACAGAGAGGTATCTCTGGGCCCTCTCGGTAATACAACGTCACAAGAAGCTTGCAAGCAATGTGACTAAGGAATTAGTTGCACGATATTGTATTACGGAACGAGTAAAGAGACCGGTAACGAGATTGAACTAGGTATGGAGATACCGACGAGCGAATCTCGGGCAAGTAACATACCGCTAAACAAACAGAACTGCATACGGGATTGATTGAATTCTTGGCATCGTGGTTTGACTGATAAACATCTTTGTGGAATATGTGGGAACCAATATGGGCATCCAGGTCCCGCTATTGGTTATTGACCGGAGAGGTGTCTCGGTCATGTCCACAAGATTCTCGAACCCGTAGGGTCCACACGCTTAACGTTTGGTGACGCTAGAGTAGTATTGGGATATTCATGTTGGTGAACGAATGTTGTTCGGAGTCCCGGATGAGATCCCGAACGTCACGAGGAGCTACGGAATGGTCCGGAGGTAAAGATTTATATATGGGAAGTCATATTTTGGCTACCGGAAAAGTTTCGGGTTTACCGGTATTGTACCGGGAAGGTTCTAGAAGGTTCCGAAGGGTTCTGGAGGAGTCCGGAAGGATCCCTCCAGCACCTAGGGCATGCATGGGCTATAGGGGGCATCCTAGACTTATTGGGCCAGGCGCACCAGCCCCCTAAGGCCCATCCGCCTAAGGGAAAGGAAACCCTAAGGGAGAGGGCCCTCCACTTGGCTTAGAGGGCACTTCTCCCCCTTTGGCCGCCTCCCCTCCTTGGAGGAGGGGCTACACCAGCGCCCCCAACCCTCCAACACCCCTATATATAGTAGGGAGGAGGCGCAAGGACCGGAGATAACAATTCCCACGCCTTGCGGCCTCCCCTCTCTCCCGTTCTTCCTTGTTCGTAGTTCCGAAGGTGCTTGGCGAAGCCCTGCTGGGATTGCTCCACCACCATCTCCACCATGCCGTTGTACTGGTTGAGATCCCATCTACTTCTCCTCCCTCTCTTGTTGGATCAAGAAGGAGGAGACGTCATCGAGCCGCACGTGTGCTAAACGCGGAGGTGTCGTCTGTTCGGCGCTAGATCGGATTGGATCGCAATTGGATCGTGAGGAGTACGACTACATCAACCGCGTTTCTTAACGCTTCCGCTTAGAGATCTACAAGGGTATGTAGATCTAATCTCTCCTCTTGTAGATGGTCATCTCCTAGATTGATCTTGGTGAGCGTAGGAATTTTTTTGTTTCCCATGCAACATTCCCCAACAAACAAAGCATAGGCATGACGTGGGATTTTTATCTCCTCGGAGAGCCTGAACCTGGGTAAACTCTGTGCCTCTGTTACCATCGCACCAAGATATCTAGAATACCCTAGCAAGGGATCTGTCGGATTTAGCTTCGATAGTGGTGGCCTATACAGGTCCTGCTAGGTGATCGTTGCGGTTCAATGGGAGTCAAGGTGAGCGCTCAAGTCGGCGCTGACAAGATCTTTCGTCGGGGCAGATCTTTGTCTTCGGTGGCATCACCCTTTGTCGCCAAATCGACTGGCACCTCACCAGGTCGAATCCTTCACTCCTATCCGGATCATAAGATTCGGCAACATGGAGTACACCATGGATCTTCGTGAAGAGCTGATCTTCATGGGCTTGGGTTCTCGCCAAATCCAGGAGCAACACATTCTGCTTTCTCTGGGCCCCATGTCAAATCTAGCCCCAGAGGTGTGAGAAACCTTTACCGGGAACTTGTACTATGATTCATGAAAGATCACATGAAGTTAGGTAGCATACCACTCTGTTCTACCCTTAGCGTGATCACCTCAGTACTTGTATCAAAGCATACGGGATTCCTTTGCTTCCTGCAATAAATATAGGGTTAATTGGATAAATGCCACTCAAATTCTGGCGATTATGAGAAACGCCATTGCAATTTGCAAACTTTGAAAAACGCCACTGCAGTTTGGAAATTGTAGTGGCGTTTCTCGGAATCGCCAGAATTCAAATGACATTAATCAAATTAACCCATAAATATAAGAATTAAGTACTTATGAATCAAATTGTCCTCCCGATGGATAGATTGTTCTTTGAACAGATGGAATATGAGTCCTAACGATGGCATTGAGACTGATGCTACCGTTTCCATTACGAATTGCGCCTACTCATATGTCATCTACTTACAAACAAGTTTTCCAAGAACATTTGTGTTGCAATAGAGAACCTATAGTTGCTAGACTATCAAACTGCTTGAAAATAACAATTAAAGCTGCTTTTATTTCCTCAAATGAAGCTCAGCTATCATGATACGTGAGCATTTTGTTCTTGTAAAATTATCGATGTGACAGACAACAAATGTAACATCAGGTAGCACATCACTTATTACATATATACGTTACTTACAAACTTAACCCTTTACCACCACACGTATAGTTTAGGAGACAGTTGAATAGAGATCTTCAATGATAACACGGACCGCTATCGGGATTCGGACCCAGTGGCTGCCTCCATCGTGCCACACCAAATTACCAAATGAGTAATCGCCTTGGATCTTTCGTCTTGCCTTGAAGCTCACCTTGAAAGACTGTGAGGTTGTATCCTTGCCAAACACCAAAACCATGGGTTTGACCAGCATATCAACTCCAGCAGGGGGCTCAACAAATGCTCTATACACTGCATCAGCTTGGCCCACATTGGTGACAGTCCTTGATACCGTTTCTGATGACTTGAGATTGGGGATGGCGATTGATGGGAGATTCAGGTCAAACAAAGATTTCTCAGTTGCTATACAACTACTGTTTGTATCTGACCCAAGCATGCAACTGAACAACTTTTGGTAATCCGAAGCATCAATATCGTATATAAGTCCAGGATCATTCGCCTGAGTTGGATTGACAAACCCAGCTCCATAATCAAAAGGATCTGCAATCTTATTTGGGGTTGCATCAGCTAGTAATGGGAGACAATTGTTGTCTGTAATGTATGCTGCAAAAACCCTTAGTTTTGTTAAAAAAATTGCATTATGAACATATGATGTTAAACATACTTTAAAGTCTACGGAAGGACATGTTTAGCCTAACAATATAATTAGCCTATCTATACTACTATTAAACAATCAAACAAGAACTTCTTTAAGCACACCCCACAAAGCGTACACAGATCTAATACCACCGCACGATTAGGCCCACAAAAATCAATCTAACGGTTGGCCTTAACCTAAACCATTTTCTGTGTGCACTTAGAAATTTACATTGACTGGCCGTACTCCACCGTGGAGGAAAATATGAAACTCCACGCCTGAGCAATTAGGAAACTAATAATCACGGGTGCATCCTATTCTAGGAAACTAAATCAGAGTGCATCCATCCTATTAGGAAACTAATCTCAGACAAATCCATCCTATTAAAAAACTTATCTCGGACGCATCCATCCTATTAGGAAGCTAATCGCGAGCCGCCTGCCGCCATCATGCACGCTAGCCATGATGGGGGAAGCGTGAGGAGCTCCGTCTTTCTCCGGGAACACACGTGCTATCACCGCCATCGTCTTCTGTTTGGAGGCCTGGCACTCTTCTGCCGCTACTGCGATGACTCCATCCACGTCCAGGGCATGCTCTCCGGCAACCATCGGCATCCGCGTTGACTTCAGCTCCGTTCGCAGCACCCATGCCGACAAAGTGTCTATTTAGTGGGTGCACGTGCATTACATATTAAATAAGAATCGTGGGGCTTCAAGCAATCTAGAATTATAGATTTGGGATTATCTTAGGTTGCCGATTGCTGTACAGAAAATGTGTAATTATATATGGCACGTACATAAGAATGCAGCAATCTTTTCTTACTAAGTAGGATCAAGAGGGATACTAAAGAAGTCAAGATGCAGAGTCTATTTCCCATGATTACTTCTCATGTTCATGTCGGCTTCCTTGGGCTTTACTTCGTACCACCATATGCATTAAACTAGACCATATCAAGAGGTAACGCCATCCCCTTGATTAGAATTGCCTTATTTGTGCTATTTGATCAGTGTGTGTTTTACGTATGACGTTGCTTTACCTGGAATTAAGGTGGGTTGCACCTGCCTAGGCACTATCTCCAGGGATAGGTTGGAAATCAGAATATATGATTCATTCTTAGAGAAAACTTTACATGCGTCACTTTAACATAATTGCACAGCAATCCAGTAAATTATGTAAGATTCAGTAGGAGGCAAGATATTGAAGATGTACTACTATTTCAGTTACGTGATTCTATACATCTAAAACAGGTCACATGACTCCGTAACTATTGTTAGAGAATATCTCTCGCTGTTCTGTAAAGGTATGCAATCTCTACTGCGTTCCAATAAAGAGAATTTTACCATACAGAAGGATCCAATGAAGAAACTAATTTGGCTGAGTTCCAATAAATAGATCCTTCAAAGGATCTGTCCTAATACAGCTGTCGTATATTGGTACAGAGAAATCATATAAACTATACTCAGTCGGATTTTTTTTGCATGACAGAGAAACCAAATACCTTTCGCTATTTTGGCACATATATTTATTCTTATATACTTGTGCAGTTTCGAATGATCCAACATATCTGCAGTCATCAAACTTGAAGACATGTTGTTTAAGGCCTTATTTGCACCGCCTCTATTTCTTTGTCTGCGCGTCTCTTTCCTCCAATAATAATAATGAACAACTTTTTTTGGATCAGGTATTACACTGTTACAAATGTATGCCGAAGCTACTCCTTACGACAAGGAAAAAGAGGATGAATGCTTTCTATCTTCACCAGTTTTGTAGCATGTTCCAAATTGTTGGCTCTTTCTTATTTGAGGATTCATCATTTTTTGTAATTTAGAAGCTGACATGAAAGCTTGATAAGGTTAAGCTTGACAAATACTCTAGAATACTTTTCCTTCCATCTTTATTTTTCTTCATAACTCATTTTAGTTTCTATATGTACAAAGCGTGTTACATCATTGTAAGTTAGTATGGTTGCCAACGCATAAACACATACAAAACCGGATAAATATTTTCTATCATGATAATTATTGGATTTCTTCTAGCCCTTTTACATTTCAATTAGTTCTTGTAAATCATCTTTATTTCATATAGAAGTCGTTGTAGTCACATATCATCTTCTATTTCCTATTATCCATAGTAGGTAGCTATATAATTTTGGCAGTCCACACAACCAAAAAAATATATATAATTTGATCCAAATTAGTAAAAATATATATTTTGCTATGCAGATTAGTAGAATAAAATAAGATTCGAGAATTAAGCATCTTGAACAATATAATTGCACCGTAAGGCAGTTTATACTTTTTTCCCTGGCTACACTCGAAGAGAAGACTATACTACATGCCTATATTACTGCATTAATAAATAATTGCTGATTTTATTTAAATGAGAATATTTTCCTGCTATTACTCTATGTAGCAACATAACCACTATTGTGTCTCTCTTTTGAAAATACAATTTGAGCGACATCAAACATTGTGTATCCATTTGATTTATATTTTTAAAAACGTTTTTTTATATTATGTGAATTCACCTATTTTACGTTTGAGACGTGCGTTGCACGTGCATGCTTACTAGTACCTACCAGTTGTCATGAGTGCTGACTTGAAAGCAGCAGGTGACCAGTCTGGATGGAGTGACTTGAGCACAGCTATAATGCCGGATACATGTGGGCAAGCCATCGATGTCCCTGAATCAAAGAAGTAGAGCCCCAGTTCCTTGTAAACACCAACCTGTGGCGCTGCTGCTAAAATATTCACCCCCGGTGCAGCAATGTCAGGCTGTTTACAATGCAGTGTGAAGGTATCATTTCATATGTTAAGAACAGTGATAAGTTAAGGACACAAAGATCAACAATTTATGATGTAAAAACTGTAATTTTGCAGTATATACCTTGAGCACTGCAGGATAGACGGAGCTTGGACCCCTTGATGAGAAAGCTGCAATCTTTGGAGCAGGAAATCCACTTCCAATTGTTGTTCGACTTAAAGAAACCTTTGCTACCGGATCCTGACTGGTACTGTTGAGACGGAGAAGTCTGTAAGGTCAACTAAAATAGCAAATATACACGTACATTCTGAATAACAAGAGTAAATTTCACAAAACTACAATTTTAATGTACAAAGTATCACAAAATTACAGGTTGGAGAACAAATTTCACATGACAGAACACTAGTCTACAGTCTGCAGGTTTATTGATCAAACTTATCCCATAAATATGTATATAAGAATTTTGTGAGTGTGCTTATGTAAGACTTGGTTTTGGGAAAGTACATCACACTCCTGTATTCAATGGTACATAAATCTGTTCATGTGAAATTAGTCTTTAAATTTGCAGTTTTTTATGCATATTATCCCTAAATAGTTATTTGAAATTGGTATTGTATATGTAGTTTGGTAATAGTTTGTTACCAAATTTATTTAAAAACAAAGGCCACATAGCAAAACATTACATTAAGATAGCCAGCGAGGTACCTTTTGAACAAATATGACTAACCATTAACCAACATGTATTTTTGATAACTCATACCTGCAATTAGCCATTGCGCATTGTTGGATCACGGTGTTTAGGGAACATGACTACTCCATGGAAGGTTCGATTATATTTAGTGCCTGCTCGAAAAGGGCCAAACATGTTTGTCTAGTTTTCTGAACCCTGGGTTGAACTACCCCACAAATGTATTACCAGTTTACTAATGTGTATTGGAAATGGTATGTAACATTTCATAAGTTATTTGTGTTCTCTTAGTCATGGTGTCTCTCCATTATCATCATTTTTTTTCTCTATAACTCATATTCGCGTATTTACTTTTGGATACTTTAGCTTACATTTTAAATAAAATGAACACAACAAAACATTTAGAAGGGATTAACCCAGGAAAACTTAACCTCATACTTACCTGAAATACTGAATTATCTTGTAGGCAACCTCTAAATCAATAGAAACACATGGGATGGACATGGCATGAAACTGCCAGGCAACAAGAAGGTCCGAATTTTGCTGCGTGAAGATAAAACCCTCTCCTCCGTTCTTGATCACTGCAGTTGCTAACCCATACAGTTGAGCAACCGGGAAAACAGAGGTTATACTGAAGCAAAGGACAATATTCCCCTTCACATCTGTACTGTTTGCAAGAGTCAAGTTACACCTGCAAATTACAAGAGGGATTAAACCAATAAAATACAGACACATGGTATGTAGAAAGAACTTCACAATAATAATGGGCTATGGCTCCATAACAGTAATATCAAATACAGAAGTAAACAAATGAAACAGGAAAATGTACGAGTAGAGCCTATAGTGTAAACATACATGCCATTCATATAGAGCTTGATCTTCTGAAACTGATTCGCTCTTTCCATATCGGCAAACAAGGATTGTCCCTATAAGCATAGGTAATCCATTATTAGATTATGTAGTATCAATAACGTATATAGGAAAAATAAGATAATAAACCCTTATATTACAGCATATTACACTATATGGTGAACCTGCCAACCTTAAATTAAAGGCATGCCCTCAAGATCAAGCCGCCTCAACCTGATTTTAGGACCCACATACTACTTATGAAAAAATGATCACTTATTCACTTATGAAGAAAACAATCTGCTCAGCTCATGATTATATGCATCAGCCAAATTTGGGATTTTTGGTTCACAATAGGCAAGGTACATTGTGATGCAGAACGTGCGACAAGGCTACAATCGAAGATCACTATCCAAACAATATCACAGTTTACACGAGACTGAACATGAGGTCAATATAGATTCGTGGGATCACAATCTAAATACTAGTTTATACAGGAAGAAAATGCATCAACAGTCTATCTAGTAAAACATCCAACTTACTCTGGAAAGTTCATATCCCAGATCTAAGTACTCACCTTATAAGGTCGATGTTGGTTATTTTCTGCCCAATTGTGAATTCCAGAATATGAACCCATATCTAAAGACAAACTCTGTCTCTAGTTCCAATAAAAAAGTATAGAAGATAAAAACATACCACAAGTGTCTGGCCATTTCCAAGAGTGATAGTAATAGGAAACAACCGATCCACCGTTGATGCTGCAACCGTAAGCAGCCACAGAGCTACGTTACCCACCATCTGGGCATACGGTCCAAAATTCACAGCTGCATATACCACCGGTATACCCTTTGCCACCGCATGAAACGCAGGGAGGTGCCCCAACAGGTTGACTATGGACAGCGATAAGACGTCGACGCCGTCATGGATGGCATCATCTATTGCTTTCATGACCGCTGCCTAACTGCATGTGGCATCGGCTGGTGGCGCTTCAAGGCTCCAGCAAGCCTTGTACACTGCGATGCGGGCTCTTGGCGCGCCGCCGCGTGCAACACCGGATGCCAGTCCATGGAAGCTGATGTTGTGGACAATGTTGCCTGCTGCTATCGAGGCCACATGGGTGCCATGGCCGTTGAGGTCTCTGGGAGACAAATATTCACCTACTAGTTGGGATTCGTTCACAACATCAGCGTACCACCGCGCACCGATGATCTTGTTGTTGCAGCTCTTGGAGCTGAAGGACTTGCCAGATTGACAGGTCCCCTTCCATCTTGGAGGAGGGGGTGTGTATCCATCATCACTGAAGCTCGGTGACTCTGGCCAAATACCTGAAGTATGAAAACAGTCAGGTTCTGCCATGCATTGTCATTTTCATCAGATGCAGATTCAATTAAGATATAACCCTTTCAACTTTACTATTCACACTTGTGGAAATGACATATCATTTCCTCCGTAAGAGATATATGCACAGTCCATGTGAGAGTAATACATGTGTCACGAAACGCATCATGACACAGACAAAAAATAATCAAACTTCCCCTAACTGAACACTGGCCCAAGAAAAAGAAAAAAACAGTTCATAAGTTTCAGTCCCAACTTCCCACTCTCCATTTTTTGAAGTTGAACTTCCCACTCTCTCAGCTATGATAACCCCAATAACTGACCAGTGTTGGCGTCCGTCGCTAGGAAGTCAATGATTGAGCTACTCAAACTAGATTATGTCTAAGCCGGATCAAGAAATATAAGATTAGGAACGCGCCTACCAGCAACAGCTCACAACTTGCCAATGAATCCAGATCCAGAATAAAATGTCCGTGATGCCGCCAGATGAGGTGAGAAAGTGTCGGCTGGGTGGAGCCAGCATCAGGACCACACCGGCGGCGGCGGCGGCGGCGGCGGCAGAGATGGCTGGATGCCTGGATCTGGATGTCAAGTGTCGCTTAAGTTCAGTTATATCGGACGCACTGTTTAATTGTCGAAGCTCTCCCCAGCCGTCCATCTGCCATCCAACGGTCTCCAGCAGCACTTACTAGTTCACGCCGAGAGGAGGATGCTGTGGACGTTCATCTGCGATCGGACGGCGGGGGTTGGTCCTCGCGTCACTATTTGAATTCCCTTTACAGCTTGTACCCTTAGCGTGTTTGGCAACATTTGAAAAGGGGAATGGGAGTTTAGAGCACGGAGTTGAATTGAGATTAGACATGGGACGAGTCATTTTATTCTCAATCCTCTGTTTGGCGCATGATGGGAATTATGTGTGAGAGTTTGAGGAGAAACTGCATTCCCTTGTTTGGTTCGTGGGATGGCGAGGGACTAGACAAGGGAAATTAATGTAAGTTATGATGAAGGCTTAAGATTGGCTCCCTAAAACAATTCCCTTCCAACTCCCACCCCCTCCCCTGTTAATAAAACGGTGAGAGTTGGAGTCTCAAGTCCCATGACCACTCCCTTATAAACTCTCAATCCTCCTAACCAAACAATAGATTTGAAGTCTCGTACCCCTTCAATTCCCATTCCCTAGATCTAATTACCTCCAACCAAACACATTGCTTTTCCTTTTGCTTTCCTGATTGGTGATGATGTAAGCAGAGTTGTCAAAATCAGAATTCTGAATCAGATCGGAGCTCTGTTGGTAGGATCGTGAGTCGTAGAATCATAACTACCAGGATCGTAGAATTGGAGGGGCTAGTTTGGATCGTAAGGTCGTAAGATTCTAAAACTTGAGTCGCGATTCTGACAACTTTGGATGTAAGGCCAACTCCAACACGTCGATCGAAACGGAGATGAAATTTGTTAGTTTTTTATCCGTTTGGGTCAGCTGTAAGGGCGGTATATGCCCCTTGTCTACTTTTTCCGGGTAGTGCGCCCAACCGGTCGACCCATTTGGTCCGCCTCGTCGATTTTATTTTCAACAAACATATTTTCATCATCAAACATAACAAGTAGATTGCAAAATGAAGCTAGAATTCATGCCGTCATACAAAATAATTGCATATCAACCATAGTTAATGCATCTCGACGAGCCGCCCTGTGGCGACATGGCGAAGTGGGATGTCCCAAGAAGGAACTATGTCGGCGGTGTTGTGGACATGTGCGGCGACTCCAGAAGCCTGGGCGGGCGGGCTGCCGACAATTCCGTGTTGGCCACTGCAGTGATGGTGATGAGAAGGGTCGGCTCGCAGTACCCTAGCAAGAGGAGGGCCTGTTGCGCGGCCTTGGCGATGAGGGCCTCTCTCCCCGTAGCGGCGGCGGCATCTTCTTTGCCCTTCTCGCTCTTACTCCGGCCATCTCGCTTTGCCATCTGGCTCGCCCTCTGCTCCGGAGTGATCTCATTCTTCGGCTTCTTCGGGGCCACCGCACGGGCAACCATGACGGGGACAGGGGCGACGGGGTTGGGTGCGCAGTCATGGCGGGAGGGCGGGAGGGATTTGGGAGGGAAATGATGGGAATGGAGATGATGTGGCACAAACGGCCGGGGCTAGGGGAGGACGTTGCAGGCATCCGCTGCCTGTCCACGTGAACGTAAAACCAACCCAAATTTGGGTCAGAAATGGGTTCAAGCGGACAAGAAAATGGACATTGGTCCATTTTGCATCGGCATGTTGGGCCTTATTTTTTGTCCACACGGACCCAAATAGACCAAAGCTGATGAAATGCATCTCTATGTTGGAGTTGGCCTAATGGCTATAAGAGCGATGACCCACGGCCTCAAGGGGGGATTCATTTATGTACTGGGTTAAACCCTAGTTGCCTGGTTAGTACCTATATGTGTGTACGAAAGTTGCTAGAACCCGAGAATTTTCTTCTCTTTGTGAGCTACAACCTATGTAACTTAATGAAAGACATTTTACAGTCTAATTTTAAACTACAAAAGCATTTTACATTAAGTTACAGAGGAAGTGCTTTCTACTCTGATTGTTATGGAGAATTTTAGATAAACCACATGCTTAATCTAAACTGCAAAAATATCCTATGTGTAACCTTTATATTGAATGGAGAAAAAAAGTGGTAAAAAGGTTTATGCCTCCACCACCATCACCATGAGGAATGGTGTGAGAACACCATTATGGGACTCCTGGTGGCTCCTTGGACACGCAAGCCCAAAGAGATTGCTCCCTCGAGAAAAAAAAATAGAAGGTGCAAGAGGCTCTTAAGAAAAATTCTTGGATATTAAAGATCAACGCATCCACCGTTGTCTCCGTCTACCAAATAAGGGAGTTTTTAACACTTTCGATGTTAGTGCACAACTTCCGCCTCGATGGGCATTTTTTTTAGAAAAGAAGGACCCCCGACCTCTGCATTTGGGCGATGCATGCAACCACTTTATTAATTATTCATAAAGACCTTACAAAGTAGTAATACATCAGTAAGTCTGAAGCCATCATGTTGGCAACATCTGTCGCTACTCCTATCCCCTTGATAAAGGGGTGCCAATAGTCCGAGACGAATACCAAACAAACCTCGCACCAAAGCCTAGGTTCCAACCAAGCCACATTGTCGTGTCTGGGGCACACATCGGTCCGTCACACTCTTAGAGGTTGCCGCCATCATCTTCCCCCAATCCATCTTCAGAGAAGGTACTAAAGCATCGACCTTGCCAGGCCTATCGTCGACGTCACCATGATGCCAAACAGTGCCATCCTCCTACGCGAGTCAGTTAACACGCATCGGACGCCGAGACTCCACTCGCCACGCTGCCGAGATCCGCCGTCGTCAATGTGGAGGAGGTAACACCGCTCCACCTATGGGCTCTTCGAGTCAGCACCTGCTCCAAAATGATGCCCCTAGGAGGGAAAATGACATCAAAGATGTCGTCATTGTCCGATCCCGGAAACACCAGATTTAGGGTTTCCCCCGGAGCGTGGTTCCGCAACTTGCAACAACGATGCCTCGAGAAGGGGTCGACATCACAGATGCTGCCATCGTCCGCCATGACCGTCACCGGAAGTCGCGTCAACCCGCCTCTCTCAACTGATTGGAACCGAACGAAGCCCCGCCGTGAAGACGAAAGTCGCCATCAGCATGCTGGCAGAGGACCTCCATCTGCCCCTCACTGGTCCCTCCACGCGTCGCCGGCTGCCCAAGGCCATGCCGTGATGGATCTGGACGGGACACCAAATCCGCGGTCACCACCGCCACCCAACACTGATCGGGCAAGCCAAGGACTCAACCCACCGGCCATGGGGGCACCAGCAGTCGCCGCACGCTAGGGTCTCCACCCTGACCGCGTCGGTTGAAGATGCAGGCACCATCGCGAGATCGATCCGGGCAACAAGGCCTCATGCTCGACCCCGGTCAGCCACGCAGAACCTCGTTGCCGCGCTAACGAGTGGTCCACCACCGGATCCACTGCGCCATGAGCGGGCCTTGCCGTCCAGGGCAACACGTCGTCGCGAGGAGAGAGTGCCCTGCCGCTGCCATCCACCGAGGGCGGGCTTCGCCCGTCGGCCTCCTCCGGCAGCGGCCAGGCTGCGGGCTGCGAAGGCAAGGGACGGGGCGACGGCGCCTAGGGTTCGCTCGTGCCACCCCCTCGGAGAGCGACGCGAGCGACATGTCTAGTATCTCGATTAGGCGTCCGCTTCTAAAAATATGAGAGATTTTCACTTCCCAGCCTCTGCATTATCTAGGAATACATACGGTCTTGATGAACATTTGAAGGACAACATGTGAAAACATGCAACTGATGGGCTCTACTGTGCGGCCTCCATCTACAAGGCGCAATTCTTGGGCATGTTTCTCTCTCTGCCATCGAGCAAAAGAAGAAATCCGAACGAATCTTCAACTAAAAAAATCAAGCATGCTTATACTCCCTCCGATCCATTTTAATTGTCGCAACTATCCATAAAGTTGCGACAATTAATATGGATCGGAGGGAGTGCCATTGGTTGACATTTAACTATTCTTAATTTACGGATAATTAATAAATCTGTATTTGTAAAGCAAATTATTTT